AAAAAAAAAAAAAAGGAAATCAAACCTCACCTTTGCTAGTGACTGACATGGACCCATTTGTGGCGAGAAGGCAGAGACTAGAAATCCCAAGAGAGACTGCCAGAGGCCTCGCTCGTCCTACAGAGTCTGGAGTCAGCTCTGGCCGTGCCATCTCAGAAGCCCCACTACTTGGCCTGTGGCAGGGTCCAGCTACCCTGCTAGACCCTGTGAGCCATGCTCAGAGGCTGATGCCCCCCCACAGACATACACCAGCTTCTTCACTGACATGGCTGCCATGCAGGGACACTCAGCTGCTCTCCAGAGCATGCTTGGTTTATAGGCAGGTTTTCATGGCAAGCTGAAGCACAGCCACAGACTCAGAGGAAAGGAAGGGAGTTAGATAATAACTTGAATGGGAGCTAATGTGTTCCAGGCCTTCATCTCCAAGCTCTTAGTGAACTGACTTATTCTTTTTTAATGTCATATCAACCTGGAAAAAGTATGGTCATTACCCCCATTTTATGGATAATCTCAGAAAGGTTGAGTAACAAGCTTATCTCAGTGGCATGGGTATGTACCCAGTAGAGCATTGCTGGCCCTACTAATGATCTGGTGACTCTGACCAGGCCGTTTCTGAAGGGTGCTTTCTTGTCTCTGTTTGGTAAGGTCCCCAGATGGCCCAAAGTGCAAGCTCAGTCTTAGCAACTTCTTATGCAGCCCCTCCACGGGGAATGGAATAGTGGAAGCCCTGAAGCTTTGGATGTGAGGGTTGACAAGGCCAGTGCTCACAGCACCTGTTCACCAACTCTGGCATCCATGAACCACCCCCATGCCTATGCACTTGCTACTCCTGAGCTCGTGATCCTGGCTAAATGGGCCATCCCCCTGCTCACCTTACCAACTCCTCAGTGGTTCCTGGAAGTGCTGAGAGACAACCTGGAGCAGCCCCCTCCCAGCTCCCAGGGCTTTCTCTCTGATTGCTGGAGCCTGCCTCATCACCCAGAAAGAGGAACACTTTTACTTCTCAGCCCTGGTCCTCCTCTATCATGCCAAGCTTTCTCAGCATGTTCCTGTCCACTCTCCTGGCTGCACATGAGACAACGACGGCCTCTCTAAGGCTCTGGCCTACTTCCTGTCCGGATGCTCATTCTCAAGAGCAGCTTGGGTTGTTTGGGCTGCCTAATAGCTAGATCCCTTCCTTCTGTGTTCTCATCTTGGCCCCATTGGACTTGGTCTGGGAAGACAGTGATCAGGGCCATCCTGGCCCAGCCACAGGTTGACTCCTCCCCTATAGGCTCAGTCTTAATCAAACTGTTCTGGTAGGGCCCCACACAAATCCTTCAACTTCATAGTCCCTGAAGTCATCTCCACAGCAGATTTCTGCTTATCCCTACTGGGTATCCAGATTTCTCATTGTTTCTGCAGGCCTGCTTGCAGCCAGGAACCCTGACCAGCTCTGCTTCCTGGTAACCATATCCATGCCTAGGGCCTCAGGAACTCTACACTTATGACCACTCCCAAATATATGTCTCCAGTCCAGACCTAAATGTTCCCTACTTCTAGAACTTAGACATTCCAAAGATGTATTCACCAATTTCACACAACCTGACAACCTTTTCTTCTTTCTTTTTATTAGCTTCTAAATATTAATTTTAGCTATTTCAAAATGTGATTTTGATTTTAGCTGTTTTAAATTTTAGCTATTTCAAAACGTGATTTAGTAAGAAATATTTAGCAAGCATCTGTTATAATTGTTAAACCATGAAATCAGCATTACTTATATGTGAGCAGCTGTACAAAACATCAATTCTTCTTTTGACAAAAGGTAGTAAAAATTCCAAAAAACAAGAGAGACTATTAATTAAAGGACCTGTTTACTAATTTAGCACCATAATTCTCTGGAATCTCTCAAGCAGCTGGAAGGAGGATATGAAAGAGGTGAGGATGTGGGAAATGTAAGGAAGGGTGTGTCTTCACTTGTGGCCCAATTTTTGCTCTAAGGCAACACAGGGCCTAGAAAAGAAGAACATTGCTGAGGCTAGAGATGAGAACAAAAGCTTTTGGTTCAGATAATAAAGGAGGCTGTCAATAGCAAAAGAATCAGTGTATCCAGAAGGCTAGAGTCAGTCTTATGATCTAGGGAGTTTCTTCTTAGCACTCAAGTCCATTTTAATTTCCTTCAAGTGTTTTAGCCAGGCTTAGGATGTCATAGTTCTGAGCCAGACACATTCCTACCACTCTGCCCAGAGTAATTCCATGCAGGAACTGGAGCATAATGTTAGCAGAGAGGACAAGGAGGACAGAGGGTGCCTGCAGCTCCATGGGCGGGTCTGAGCCTCTGCACTTTTGCTGGCTTCCCTTTTTCCTTGGTTTACATTCCTGGTCACTTACTACTGTTCCTGTAGATTCATTCCCAAATAAATCACACACACACACAAGCCTTGACTCAGGCTCTGTCTTCAGGAAGAAACCCAGAGTAAAACAGTTGCTATCAGGAGTGACCTTAGACCTGCAAGGAGATAAGGACTCCATTGCCACTGGAAAGGGGACAGTAATAACCCCTGGCATACAGAAGGAGCATCACTTACCAAGACCCTTATCCATGGTAGGTTAGACTGAGATCCAAGTGGAAGGTGAAGCATTGTTTTGTTTCAACTGGGGCAACTTTATACCCCCGCTTCCCTCCAGGATGGAGACAGTTAGCAATATCTGGAGACTTTTCCTTTTTTTTTTTTGAGACAGCCTCACTCTGTCACCCTGGGTAGAGTGCTGTGGCATCCTCATAGTTCACAGAAACCTCAAACTCCTGGGTTCTAGCAATCCTCTTGCCTTAGCCTCCCTAGTAGCTGGGACTACAAGTGCCTGCCATGACACCTACCTAGAGACATCTTTTATTATCACAACCAGGGGAGTGTGCTACTGGAGTCTAGTGGGTAGAGGCCAGTGATGCTGCTAAACATACCAAAATGCATAGTGGCAAATGCATAGTGCCCCTCAATAAAGAATTTCTTGCCCAAAATTGCAGTGGCAAAAGTGGGAAAGCCTGATTATGGTTTTTAGAACATATAAGAACGGTGATTATCAGAATTGTAGAGTTGACTGGCTTTTGTCAATTGCTTTAGAAGCCCCAAACAAAGAAGATGACAAGCTCAAGTCAGCCAACTATTAAATCAAGGCACCCTGTGAAAGCCAGGAGGCCTCCATGGCAGCCTGAAAGAGACCTTTATTTCCTGCAGGCACGAGGCAGATCTTACTGGAAATCAAGCCCAGTATTTAATTGTAAGGGTGGGGGAGCCACAAAAAAGGCTCTATGCACAGCCTTGATGGGTCTCCCATGACAAAGTCATGACCTTGATAGGAAATGTACAAAACCCTGGAACACAGAATGGGATCATTTGTGATCCCTATACAACCTGCAGACCCATCAAGGCTGTGCGTAGAGCCTTTTTCGTGGCTCTTCCACCCTTACAATTAAATACTGGGCTTGATTTCCAGTAAGATCTGCCTCATGCCTGCAGGAAATAAAGGTCTTTCTCATCCCTACTGACACTAGGGACTCCTCACCTTTACACTTTGTGTTGACTTAGTGAGGAGAGTATGCTGTGACTTTCCTTGTGAAGATAGTCTGGTGGCAGTTTCTCTGCTTTTACATGATAACTGCAATCTAACATTCTCATCCTCCTGAGCTTTTTTTTTTTTTTTTTTGGTGTTTTTTGGCCAGGGCTGGGTATGAACCCACCACCTCCGGCATATGGGGCGCCCTACTCCTTTGAGCCACAGGTGCCGCCCATCCTCCTGAGCTTTTGACTCCTTCAATACTCTGCCAAGCAAGTTCTAGTATCTTTACCTCATTTCTGAAATGTCCTTTGGCCTCTAATCCGGGACTAGAGAAGCAAATGCACTTGGGCAAAACCTCCAAAGAGGTAGATTCTGCAGCCTGTCAATTGCATCTGCCTCAGGAACCCCAAGACTCAGGCTCTAGCCCCAGGCTAGCTCACACAATAGCAGAAGGACCTTAGATCTGGGCACTGAGCAAACAAAAAAGTGGCATTTGGGAGGAGGCGTGGTTCCTGCTTTGGGTATCCTGCCAGATCCGAGCGCCAAATCCAGCGCTCCCCTCCTCCGTCCCTCCCTCTGTTCCTGTACTGGGGGCGGGCCCTTCTGCCAACAGAAGTCCTTCCAGACTGAGAAGGGTCTGGCAGCCTGCCCAGATAAAAGGACTGTGAGGAGAGCTAGGGGATCAAAATCAGAACTCGGGCGAGGTGACAGCAGCGCCCCCATGACTGTGCTTCTGCAATAGGCAGGCAAGCAGGCTCTGTGTTGAAATCTTCTCTACAGACCTCAGGAGGAACTCAGGACGATCCGGGACAACTGGTAGCCCTGCCGCTCCCCTCGGTCTGGGTCTATCTCTGACGTTCGGTAACCTTGCTAATCCCTTTCAGGCTCTGAGTTTGCCCCCCCTCTTCAAGGTGAGGCTCCTGGCAGTCCTGAGGACGCTACTCCGGGCGCCGTAGGCTGGGGATTGAATCGAGCACTCCTAGGACTGGCGGGGAGTGAGCTCCCTGTCGGCTGGTGCCAGCCACTTGCTCAGGGTGCCAGGAGAAAGGGCGCGCTCCTGTCTCCCCGCTGCACGCAGGGGTTTCCCGGAAACCGGCTGCTTTGAGGAGCTGGGCCGCGCTCCCGCTGTGGTCGCCTAAACTCAGACTCTGGATCGGAAAGGGCAGCGGAGGCAACCCTGCCCGGGGCAAGGGCTGGGGCGACCTCTCCAAGACCTTGCTCTCCGGCCTCCCACGTGAGGCACAGGTCCGGGGAATCAGCGCTTGGGCTGTCATGGGACAACCCAGTGCTCTGGAGCAGAGCTTCCTCCTGCGCTTGCAGGCGGCACGGCTGAGCCAGCCTTGAAGCCCCTGCGGGGTCCGCAGCTGGGCGCACCAGGGCCGGAGCACAAGGCGGGGACAGCGAGGAGCCCCGCCCCCGCCACCCGGGCCTCCCTGCCCTCCCCCGCGCCTAGCCTGGGATGGGGGTGTGGTCCCGAGTCTGCTGTGGCATCGAGCTTTGCTCTGAGCTCCTGGGAGCGCTCCAAAACCCGCAGCCGGTTTCCCCGGGAACGGTCTCCGGCAGCGCGCCCCAGTCTGCCGGACCCCCGGGAACGTTCTGACACCTTGGGGGACGCCCCGGCCGCAAGACACTGTCCGGAGAACGCCCTTACCGCCTCTTACTGCAAGCTGCAGAGTAGTGGTGGGAAGCATGCGGGACTACGACGAGGTGATCGCCTTCCTTGGCGAGTGGGGGCCCTTCCAGCGCCTCATCTTCTTCCTGCTCAGCGCCAGCATCATCCCCAACGGCTTCAATGGTATGTCAGTCGTGTTCCTAGCTGGGACCCCGGAGCACCACTGCCGGGTGCCGGACACTGCGAACCTGAGCAGCGCGTGGCGTAACCACAGTATCCCGGTGCGGCTGCAGGACGGTCGCGAGGTGCTCCATAGCTGCCGCCGCTACCGGCTCGCCACCATCGCCAACTTCTCAGCGCTCGGGCTGGAGCCGGGGCGCGACGTGAATCTGGAGCAGCTGGAGCAGGAGAACTGCCTAGATGGCTGGGAGTTCAGCCAGGACGTCTATCTGTCCACCATCGTGACCGAGGTGGGTGCGAGTCCCCACTGGGGCAGAGGTAGGGACGGGAAGTGAGAGACCCTCTGTGTCAGCCACCATGAGACTCACTCCCTGAAGGGCCTGCGCCAGCGCCTCACCCCCTCAAACCTGCCTGGTGGTGCGTTTAGTAACAGGTGTGCACCTGCCAGAGCAAAGCTCACTGGAGGCTGGTTCCTGAATCGTTTCTGTCCAGAAAGGAGGTGATGGAGAAGGGAGTTGTCACCAACTGTCTTTTCCTTTCAGAGTTTCACAATAGATGAAATTTCTCAAGAGCCTTGATGCTGCCCTTGGGGAAGCCCAACCCCAGGCTGCCCAGAGTACTGCCTGAGTCACCTTCCTACCAGGGATGGGAGGAGGGGTGTGAGGGACTCTGTTGAGCTGAGATGCAGACACAGAGAAAGGCCTTGTTACTGGGCAGGGCAGGGGCAGGGGCAGGTCTGGCCTGTTCCCTGGCCACAGACTTCTGGAGTTACCAGGATGTGCACTGCTCTGCCACATACCCTCTAGGCATAGCTTGGAGTCCTGACTTGAGGCCCCAATTTCTCCAAAAGGAATCAAAGGGCCAGCTGGTGCTTGTTGAGTGTAAGGAAGAAGAGAAGGCATAATCCTGGACACACACACTCGTGGTGAGATGAACTCATGAAGACTTCTCTGAACAGGGTGGCACCTGTGGCTCAATACCATATACTGAAGGTGGCGGGTTCAAACCCAGCCCTGGCCAAAAACTGCAAAAAATAAATAAATAAATAAGACTACTCTGAACACAGGGCCAGTTGGTGAGCAGGGGCTCTGGCTGGTGCTGCTATCCCCTTAGATCCTAAGGGGTTGGTGGCAAGGTTTCTAAGTTCCAAGAATCAGGACACACTCCCCCACCCCCCACCCTTGTTTTTCCTACTTCATACGTGGTAAGGACCAGGAGATGCTGGGTCAGATCACCCCCTCATTCTGAGGGGAAAATCCTCTCAGACTAGTTTCCTACTATTGATCAGGCAGGTAGGATTTCCTTACTTCTAAGCCCTCCTCTGCTCTATGTTCCTCCCAAGAGAAACCTAAGCGTGCTGGTCCTTTATCCCTTTCTTTCAGTGCAGTGTGGCAATCAGCAGACATTGTGTCTGGCCTTGTACTGGCACCATGGTGTAAACTTCTGAGGCATGGGGTCTGCTCTCAGGAGCTCAGATGCCTGTGGAGCACACTGGCTGTGTTAGAGAGGACTAACACCAACCCTGGTTAGCATCAGAGTTCTGGAACCCAACTTCAAATCCTTGCTTGATTGCTGTTTGACTTGGGATAAATAAATTACCCTCTCTACGGGACAACTAGGTAAGAAAACGCTCCAAGAAAGGGTGATAAAATTTGAGCTGAGTCTGAAACTATAAGTAGGACCTGTCTAGGCAAAGGACGTGGCAGATTCTGGGAATGGAATTCCCATAGATCAGAGTGGCTGGAGTTCAAAGGATGACAGATGAATCTAGAAATGTCCGAACTGGCTAGTTCTTAGTGGGCCTTGTGCGTATATTGAGGGGTTGACTTTCTAGTGAGGACAGCAAGGAAATAGTAAGGGTTCTAAGCAAGGCCAGATGCATGTTTTTAGAAAGAGCTTACTCTAGCTGCTATGAAAAGCAAAAGGACCAGTAAGGAAGCTGTGGAAGTCACCTCTGCAATAGAATAGCCAGGCATGGTGGCTGTGAAGTCTGTAGGACCTGTCAAAAGTGGGCTCAGCCTGTGGACCTCCTCTAGACACCCCTTCCCATCACCATCAGCACTGTGCCTTTCCTGTACCCTGAGGTGGCTGTGTTTTTCTGTCTTTGACCCCTAGCAGGGCTGCTAATGCTCACCCATTCCTACATATAGCCTGACATGGGGGCATCTAAGATTGGGGCCAGATCATCCTACCTTAATTACTTGAAGTGTCATCAGCACTCGAGATGGAAGTTAAGTCCACTGGCTGCAGCCCTTCCTGACATCTGGACCGATCTGTCTGCTTTCCCCCTGGTTTTATTTGCCTCAGGATGGGATGGGGGGAAGATAGTAGCCTCAAAATCTATAGCTACCCAAGTTTGCCTTTGTGTTTACAGGGACACCTGCAGAGATGTACATATTCTCACACTCACACAGACACCAGGATTTGCCTTTTTCAGCAGGCTTTCCTTTTCTTATTTCTTTTTTGGGTGGTGGAAATGACATAAAAGACACCAGGGCAGTAGTGGTTGGGAGTGAGAGGGAGGGAAGCCAGCATCAAGGTGAGCAGCATGGGGGTGGCTCCCCCCAGAAGGGTGGTCTCACAGGAAATTCTGTAGTCAGACTGAGCTGAAGGCCAGTTTTGACTCTACCACCAACCACCTGGCTGACTTGAAGCAGGGTTACATCACTGTTCAAAGCCTCAGTTTCCTTATCTATAAAGTGAGGATACAAGCATATTCATAGATGCCCGACATCACTAATCACTAGGAGTATGCAAATAAAAACCACAGTGAGATACCACCTCATACCCTTGAGGATGGCTACTGTTAAAAAACCAAAAATAACAAATGTTGGTAAGGATGTGGAAAAATTGAAATCCTTGTGCATTGCTGAGGGGTATATAAAATGGTGAGATTATTATGGAAAATGGTATGGTGGTCCCTCAAAAAAAATTAAAAATAGAAATACCCATGTTCATATCATATTATTCACATTAGTCAAAGGTAAAAGCAACTTCAATGTTCATCAGCAAATCAATGTTAAACATAATGTGATATATACATACAGTGGAATATTATTCAACTTGAAAAGGGAAGTCAATTCTGACACATAATCACATACTACAGCATGGATGGGCCAGGAGGATATTAAGCTTAGTGAAATAAGTCAGAAAAGAAAGGCAAATGTTGTATCATTTCACATATATGAGTTGTGAGGAGTAGTCACGCTTATAGAAACAGAGAGCAGAAGGTGGTTTCCAAGGACTGGAAGAAGGGAGGAAGGGGGAGTTGTTGTTAAATAGGCATAGAGTTTCAGTTTTGTAAGATGAAAAGAGTTCTGGAGATAGATTATACTACACTGTGAATGCTATTGAACTGTACTCTTAAAAATAACTAAGATGGTCCAGGTGGGGTGGGTCACACCTATAATCCTTAGTACTTTGGGAGGCAGAAGTGGAGGATCACTTGAGGCTATGAGTTTGAGACCATCCTGGGCAGCATAGAAAAATACTGTCTCACAGAAAGAAAGAAAGAGAGAAAGAAAGATGGCTCAGCATCCATAGCATAGTGGTTATGGCGCTAGCCACATACACTGAGGCTGCAGGTTCGAACCCAGCCTGGGCCAGTTAAACAATGACAACTGCAACAAAAAATAGCCAGGCACTGTGGTGGGCAGCTGTAATCCCAGCTACTTGGGAGGCTAAGGCAAGAGAATCGATTAAACTCAGGAGTTTGAGGTTGCTGTGAACTATGACACTACAGCACTCTACAAAGGGTGAGACTGTCACACACACACACACAAAAAAAAACAGAGAGAGAAAGAGAGGAAGGAAGGAAAGAAGGAAGGAAGGAGCAAGCCAGGTATAGTAGCACTCACTTATAGTCCCAGCTGCTTAGGAGGCTGAGGCAGTTGGGTAACCTAAACTCCAGCTTTGAGCTCAAGGCTGCAGTGAGCTACAAACACACCACTGCATACCAGCCTGGGTGAAAAAAAAAAAAA